TATTTTCCATGGCTTTCATGTAACTTTTCCAGTTCCCAAATATTTTGTAGCTCATTTAGCTCCGGGAAATATTCTGCCTCAGCTCCCCCCCGGGAGATAAGTAGCTTTGAAATGGTTTTAAAGTAGCTTAGCAATAATTCGCTTTACCCCCCCATCTGGCGGCCCGCTGGCGCCCGGAGGCGCCGCGCGCGGGAGTTCCGGGGCAGGCGGCGCCGGCGCGCTTCGCGAACTTGGGCCGGCTGCGCAGGCGCGCTTCACTACTTCAAGCGGGGCAGCGCCGTCGCGCGTTGCAAATCTGGGCCCGGCCGAGCCGGCGCGCGTTGCATGTCCGGGCCCAGCCGCGCCGGCGCGTGCAATTGCGCGCCTGGCCGCGCCGGCGCGTTTTGCAAATCCGGGCCTGGGCGGCCGGCCGCCGGCGGGCCCGCGAGCGGGTCGCGGCGCCCCCCCCGGAAGGCCCCAGCGGCCAGGCCCCCCCTCGAAATTGCGCTTTAAATCGGCGAAATAAACAATTTCTTTGCCCCCGCGCAAGACAAGGGCACAAATCCGCCCATCTTAACTGCGCGCTGGCCTGGCGGGCGGGGCCCCGCCGCCTGCTCGGCCCCGACCAAGGAGCTGCAACCGGCAGAAAACGCCGCGCGCCATGGAGTCCGCGGGCCGCCCATGTAGACTACAAGAAGACGCCGGCGCTGCGACCCTGCATTTATGGCCCCCGACAGCGCGCGCTTGTTTCGCGCAGCGCGGCCCCGCGCCTGCGAACCTCAAGCAATGCGGCGCAGCGCAACGCGCCCGGGATGGCCGCGGCAATGATGGTTGCAATGCGACGCATTTGCAGCGCGCGTCCTGATCAACCCGCAAATTCGCATTGACATGATATGTCTACGCCGGAAAGCTATGTCCTACTTGACACTACTTTGGAACTATTGTTCTGACTAAAACATATGAGTTTCTATCTTTATGCATTGGAAAACTACCTTTGTCATATTATTTTCTTCCCCACACAGATCAACAGGGCTGGTTGCTGTCTAAAGATTCGTTGTCACAAGCATGCGTCCGCGCCACCCAATACAGAGCTTCGTGGCCACATAAGGAGCAGCACCGAAGGCCGCGCTTGCGCGGCTCGCAAGCGTCGCTCCGACTAGCGCAACAATTCGTGACCCCATAGGAAGCCCCAACGAAGGCCACAGTGGCGACGCTCCCATCCGTCCGCCACACCCAGTACAGCGCTTCGTGGCCCCTTAGGGAACCCCACCGCAGGCCTCAGTTGCGACGTTCGCATGCGTCCGCCCCACCCCGTACAGCGCTTCGTGGCCCCATTGGGACATCCACCGTGGGCCCTCGTGGCGACGCTAACGTGCGTCCGCGCCACACAATACAGCGCTTCGTGGCCCCATAGAGAGCTGCACGGACGGTCACACTGGTGACGTTAACATGCGCCCGCCCCACCCAATACAGCGCTTCGTGGTCCCATAGGGTGCTCCGCCGCAAACCACAATTGTGACGATCACCTGCGTCCACCTCACCCATTAAACCGTGCTTTGGCCCCGTGCGGAGCTCCACGGGGCCCCACCGCAAGTTTCAGTGGCGACGTTCGCATGCGTCCGCCCCGCCCAGAACAGCTCTTCCTGGCCCCATAGGCAGCTCCACCGGAAGCCCCAATGGCGACGTTAGCATGCGTCCGCGCCACCCAATACAGCGCTTCGCGGCCCATGGAGAGCTGCACCGAAGGCCACACTTGTGCGGCTCGCATGCGTCACTCCAACCAGCGCAGCGCTTCGTGACCCAATAGGGGGCCCCACCGAAGACCACAGCGGCACAGTTCCCATGCGTCCGCCACACCCCGTACGTTCGTGGCCCCGCAGGGAACCCCACCGCAGGCCTCGGTTGCGACGTCCGCATAAGTACGTCTGCCCCACCCCGTACAGCGCTTCGTGGCCCCATGGGGAACTACACCGAAAGCCCCAACGGTGACGTTAACATGCGCCCGCCCCACCCAATACAGCGCTTCGTGGTCCCATAGGGAACCCCGCCGAAGGCCCCAATTGTGACGATCACCTGCGTCCGCCTCACCCATTAAACCGTGCCGTGGCCCCGCAGGGAGCTCCACCGCAAGATTCATTGGTGACGTTCGCATGCGCCCGCCCCACCCAGTGCAGCCTTCCGTGGCGTGGCCCCATGGGGGGTTCCACCGACGGCCCTCGCGGCGACGTTCCCATGCGTCAGCCCAACCCAGAATAGCGCTTCGTGGCCCCAAATAAGGAAACCCACCGAAGGCCATACTGGTGACGTGAACATGCGTCCGCCCCACCCAGTACAGCGCTCCGTGGTCTGACAGGGAAACCCGCCGAAGGCCCCACTTGTGACGGTCGCGTGCGCCCGCCCCAGCCATTAAACCGTGCCGTGGCCCCGCAGGGAGCGCAAGTTTCATTGGTGTCGTTCGCCTGCGCCCGCCCCACCAATTAAGCCGTGCCGTGGCCCCATAAGGATCGCCATGCGTCCGCCCCACCCTGTACAGCGCTTCGTGGCACCAATGGAACTCCACCGAAAACCGCACAGGTGACGTTAACACGCGTCCGCCCCACCCCGTACAGCGCTTCGTGGCTCTAGGTGGAGCTCCGCCGACGGCTTCAATAGCGATGCCACACGCGTCCGCCCCACGCAACACAATGATTCGTGTGCCCATACAGCGCTCCACCGGAGCAACGATTCGTGGGCCCATAGGGCGCTCCACTGCAGGCCCCAATCGCGACGTTCGCCTACGTTCACGCTCGCCTTACCCAGTACAGCGTTGCGTGGCCCCACAAACGCTCCACCTAAAGCGACGTTCGCATGCGCCCGCACGGCCCATTACACCGCTCCGTGGCCCCATAGGGAACGGCATCACAAGCCCTGGTAACGCTCGCATGCGTCCGCCCCGCTCAATACAGTGCGTCGTGGCACCATGGGGGGCTTCACCAGAGGCCCCAATGGCGGCATTCGCATGCGCCCGCCAAACCTAGTACAGCGCCTTGTGGCGTCATAGGGACCCCCTTCCGAAGGCCCTGGGGCGACGTTCGCATGTGTCCGCCGCCGCCCATTTCGGCACAACCGTTACACATGTCGTGGCCCCATAGGGAGCTCCACTGGGGGCCCCAGTGGCAACCTTCGCGCCCCCCCCCCACCCACCCATGTCGGCACACCCCTTTACGCGCTTCGCGGCCCTCGTCGGAAATAGCCTCACTTGCGAAGTTCGCACGCGTCCCCCCCGCCCACCCCAGCACACCCCTTATGCGATTCGTGGCCCCATGGGGATCCCCACCAGCATCCCCAGCGGCGACGTTCGCATGATGGCCCCTCAAGCACTTCGTGGCCCCACGCGGGGGGGATACCCAAGGCCCCAATAGCAGCGCCCGTATGACCACGCTCCATTTCAGCACACCCTCTTTCGACGTTTCGTGGCCCAACGAGGGGATCCACCGAAGGCGATACATACCAACAACGGCGAAGCTAACAACTGTGTAGTTCTGTTCGGGCCCTTCGCAAAGATAAGTTAACCTGGAATTGTTTGCCATTGGTTTGCATTTCGATCCGTTGCTTGGCACTGCATCAACAACAAGAAACAAGAACATGACACCCAGAGACCCGGGGAATCTGGGGAACCCCGAATGACGTGATAGTCCGACAATTGGACCCCACAAAATAATGTTGCCAGCTTGACTCGGGATGTTGCCTTGCTCCCTCCGACTGTCCTCTCCTGCCTACTCCTTCTCATCCTGCCTATCCTCCTGCCTCCTCCTCCTCCTCCTGCCTCCACTTCCACCTCCTCCTCCTCCTCCTCCTCCTCCTCCTCCTCATCCTCCTCCTCCTCCTCCTCCTCCTCCTCCTCCTCCTCCTCCTCCTCCTCCCCCTCGTCCTCCTCCTCGCCCTTTTTCCTCCTCCTCCTCCTCCACCTCCTCCTCGCTCTCCCTCTCCATCCCGCCTGTTCTCCTCATGCACCTTTCCTTCTTTCTGGCCGGGGCACGCATGTCGATCTTCTTCGGCGCCCTCGCCGCCACGGCTGGCATGCGCGCGTTCTCCGATGGCTGGATCACGAAGCCGTGGGGGCAACCCCGTGGGCCAGGCCGTTGGGACAACCCCGTGGGCCGCTGGGGCGCGGGAGCAGGCCGTCGGGACAACCCAGCGGGCCTCGACTTTGGATGCGGGAAACGATACCAAACTTCCCCAAGATGACTTTGGATGCGGGAATCGATACCAAACGGACCAGCGGAACCCGGGGAACCCCGAGGAACACGCGAACTTCAAAGAAACCTCAAGACCAGAGAGCCCCGAAGAACGCCGAGTCCAACTGCGCACAGCACTTACCGGCTCTCCGCAAGAAAACAAAAGAAAACCCTAGGCAACGCCTACTTAGGAAAATGTGGAGGCATAATCAATCCATTGTAAGGATGTAAGGTATTGATGCAAGGGCTTTGGAAGGCCACATTCGCACTTGTCGAGCGTGGCAAGGCCGAAAACCCAAGGATGCAAAAGGGAACCCTAATACGTCCACATCGTTGCCGAACTGGCGTTGGGGTATGCCTAGGCCGAAAGGCAAGGATGCAAGGGTACCCTTGGAACGTCCTGCATCCCAGTGGACAAGCGCTGTGCTTGTTTCGGCGGCGAGGATCCGCAAGGCCGCCCGCCCTACCTAGCCCGCATCCTTAGCGGCGCCCATCTCGCAAACTTAGGGCTCGGCCCCAAGGGACGTCGCACCCCGCAACCGTTCGATGCGGATCGCCCCAAGGGTGTCTAAGGGGCTGGCCAGTGAATATGACCAAGAGGGAGCCGAAGAGAAAGGATGCAAAGGTAACCGTGGAAAGCCGCTCATCCTTACCGTGGGTTTTGACTGCATGGATCTGTCTTGACAGGCGGAGGACACACGTGGGAGGTGAGGGAAGGCGGAGGGAACGTGGAGACAGAAGCACGCATGGCTGCACGGGCTCTCCGAGTCCGCGCTCTCCCCTTTCTGGCTCACGCCACCCGCTCTAAATGCCAGTCAGGATGCGCTTGTGCCCCGACGACGGCACTTGCTGGATGGCCGCGCTGAGCTTCTCAGCGACCGAGCTTGCATGGTCAGACCCGGAACAGGAACTGCCCGAGATGCTGCTGCCGTTGAGGCTGCCGTTCATGCTGTCCGACTCCGAATCGGAGTCCGAGCTGCCACAGCTGAGGCCGCTGCTGGGGCTCGAGGCATCGGCCTTCCGCCCAGCGCCCCCTGCGGGGAAGGCGTCCGGCACTTCGACTGCCCGCCTCGCCGCGGCAATGGCGGCGCGCGGCTCGGCCGAGGAGCGCCTCCTCTGCAGGCTGCGAGTCCCGCCCCCCGCCACGCTGCTCGGGCCGGCGCCTCCCGAGCAGGCGCCCCCCGAGCCCGCTCCATGCTCGGCCGTGGCACCGTCTGCACGTTGCTCGGCCGACCAGCGCCTCTTCAGCAGTCGATGGGGCCCGCCAGGCCCAGAAGTGTCGGCGATCGGCTCATCCGCGGCCTGCTCAGCGGCGTCGCCAGTGCGCAGCTCGAGTGACGAGCACCTTCTCTTCCGATGTTGAAGCCCGTGCGCGAGGTGCACCTCGCTCCTGAAGTAACGCTCTCTCTCAACTTTCCGCTGGGCTTTCAAGGCGTCGTTGGCAAATTCCTCCGTCCCAAGCCCGACCAGCTCGGACGGTGGCAAGGTCTGGGCCAAGACTCTGCCCAGCAGGACGCCATCTGCGGCCCGCAAGTTGAAGAGCAGGCTGCGGGCTCGCAGCCGGTACTCCTTCGGGGCCGAGCCGAAGCGCGTGAACAGCTCCCGCTCGATGCCGCGACAGGTGTCGATCGAGGCGCGCCCGGTGCCGCTCGCGCAGGTGCGCACGAGGGCACCCACCACCCTCTGGCGGACATCCTCGGTGAGCATCTCTACGACCACCGCGGACGTGGCGGCCGCCTTGATCGGCGCACGCTTGCCTGGCCCATGGGCCTCCGCGCCTTCCGCCGCCACGGCCGGCGCGGCTCGCGTGCTGGTCCAGCGCCGCAGCAGCGCCCAGAGCCGCTCCCCCTGGTGCCCGCCCAGTGCGCGCCGCATGGCCGCGGCCGCGGCGGGCGCGGAGATCGCCGTGCTGAAGCTGGCCCCGATGAGGGCTCGCACTTCAGGGTACATGCGCCGGTCGAGTGCCTCCATGGCTGTGATGGCCTCCTCAGCGAGGCAGCCCACCCAAGTGGGCGTCGTATAATGCAGGCTCATCAAGGCAGAAACCGTCTCTTTCACCTTGGCCGAGACGTTCTGGGCGTCGTGCGTCGTGCGGGCCTGCAGCCGTTCAATGTCACGCCGGCTCCTGTTGAGCTTCGCGCCCACCTCGTATGTAGCGCGATCTGCAGCCTGCAGCTTCCGCCATGCCTCCGACATCATGCGAGATGCCTCCCCGAGCTTTGTCCCGGAGCAGTTCCGCAGCACGGCGGCACATCCATACTTGCAGAAAAACACGTAGGCGCTCTGGCATCGCTCGTACTTCACGCCCTTGCCCTTGATCGCCTTGCCCCCGCTGGTCTTGGACTTCCTCGGCGCGGCTGCGTCTGATCGCTTCCACCCTCTCGCCCGGAGGGTCCGCGCCATGAGGCCCGACGCGGTGTCTACCAATTTTTAGAGCGGCTGGCGAGCCAAGGTGGGCAGCTCGAAGCGCGCAGAGCTCAAGTGCTTACGGAGGCCTCAGGATGAGGAAGGCCAGGAGAGGACGAATAGGAGCAAGAGAAGGTGAAGGAACACAGGCAACGAGGGCGCTCCGCTCGGGACGCGACGCCGATCCGACAAAGAATTCTCGGCAAGGCCATGGCCTCGGAGAAGAGGCTGCGGCTGCAAAACGCGGGTGAAACATTCCGACGCCTTCCGGGTATGCCTCTGGGCTTTGAGAAGGCGGGTAGACCTAGGTCGACAGTAGGCAGACACGGGGATTTCAAGATATGAGGCAACAACCTTCAAAGGTGCACATGTTGTCCATGGATTCGCGGGCCCCAACGACGTGCGAGGTGTTGATCCCGCCCCAGACGGGGCGATTTTGCCGTCTGGAGGAGGGCGGGGGGGGGCCGAACGCAGCGTTCCAGATGGTCCTGAAGAGCCCTGGACGTCGCGTCGCCGAGGCCGCGTCAGAATTTTTTACGACGACGCAAGCGACCCTAAGGAGCCTCAAGAGTTCCCAAGCGAGCCCCCAAGAGACCCAAGACACGCGCACGATAGGCCCCAGTAGAGGCCCCGATACATACTGTTTTGCTGCTCCAAACGCCCAGGCAGAAGAAACACTGATCCATCTTGCGGAAGAGTGCCGTACATTTGACAACTCATTTGGTTTGCAGGACAATCTGAGTGCAGAGGCCCGCGGCCTCCGGGTTGGGATGATAGCCCTCTCTTGCCTTAAACTTCGGACAATGTTCGGTTGAGTATGTCCCGGCGCCGAAGCCACGGGCACAGTATTATGTTATAGTTATAGCGTAGTGTGGGAGCACACGCCTTCCCAGCACATTATGTGTTTTTCTTTGTCCTTGGGCATGGGGTGCGTGTGGGACAGCATGTGGGAGAACACGCATTCCCAGCACAGCAACGCTGGAAATAATGAAAACCTTCCTAGCCCAAAATGAACACAAAAGTGCCCACGAGGGCTTCAAGAAGGTCCCAGAACGTCCCAAGCACTTCCAAAGACGGCCCAAGAAAGCCCCCGAGGCGCCCGAGAAGGCCACAAAGGGAAGAGCGCCAGTGAAGGCCCCTCTAATTGAAAAGGGGGCGGCTGCTCGCACAAACCTTTCCACCCCCCTCCTTTCAAGGGGGGGAGGGTCGGAACCTCCCCCGCCTTTGAAAGGGAGGGTGGGGGTTTCGGACCCCCCACCCCTTGCGCCAGAGAGAGTTCGGGGGGAAACCTTTGTCTTAGGCCGAAGATCGTGAGCGGCACCGGCTGTGTTCACGGGGGGGGTGCACAAAGGCTTCCACCAGGTGTGTGCAGAACAACAGAGCATTTGCATAGGATCGGGAAGATTGAAGGCTTGAGAGGACGATGTTGAGATCAACGGATGTGCATCGCATAATGCTTTTTCCACACCATCCTGAGGTGGTGGGTCCTCCTTTGGGAAAGACGGCGCCAAACGTCTTCCTCTCTCCTCCTCCTCCTCCTCCTCCTCCTCCTCCTCCTCCTCCTCCTCTACTCCCTCCTCCTCTCTCCCCTGCGTGCCTCTGCCCTCCGCGTCAACCAATTCGGCACACCCCTCCCACGCTTCGTGGCCCCATAGGGAGCTCCACCGAAGGCCACAGTGGCGACGTTCGCATGCGGCTGCCTCACCCAACACAGCGTCTTGTGGCCCCATAGGGAACTCCACCGAAGGCCCCAAAGGCGACGTGCCCATGTGTCCGCCTCATCCAGTACAGCGTCTCGTGCCCCCCTTGGGCGCTCCACCGAAGGCCCCCGTGGCGACGTTCGCATGCGTCCGCCGCGGCCCCATAAGGAGTTCCACAGAAGGAACCGGTGGCGACGTTAGCATGCGCCCGCACCACGCAGTACGGCGCTTCGTGGCCCCACAGAGAACTCCACCGAAGGCCCCCGTGGCGACGTTCGCACTCGTCCACCCCACCCAGTACAGCGTCTCGTGGCCCACGTACAGCGCTTCGTGGTCCCATAGGGAGCTCCACCGAACGCCCCAGTGGGGACGTTCGCACGCGTCAGCCCCGCCCCGTACAGCACTTTGCGGCCCCGTCGGGAGCTCCGCCGAAGGCCCCCGTGGCGACGTTCGCACGCGTCAGCCCCGCCTCGTACAGTACAGTGCTTCGCGGCCCCTTCGGGAGCTCCACCGAAGGCCCCCGTGGCGACGTTAGCATGCGCCCGCCCCACCCAGTACAGCGCTTTGTGGCCCCATACGGAGTTCCACCGAAGGCCCCAGTGGCGGAGTTCGCCAATGTCCGCCCCACCTGGTACAACCCTCCGTGGCCGCAGGGGAGCGCCACCAAAGGCCCACCAGGCGACGTTGGTATGCGCCTCCCCGCCCATGTTGGCACATCCATCAAACGCTTCGTGGCCCAATAGGGAGCTCCACTGAAGGATACAATGGCGACGCTCGCAGGCGTCCCCGCGCCTATTGCGTCACACCACTCACGCGCTTCGTGGCCCCATGAACCCAGCTCCACCGAAGGCCCCACCTGCAACGTTCGCATGGTTTCACCCCTGGCCCATCTCGGTACACCGCTCACACGCTTCGCGGCCCGATATGAGAGTTTCCCCCGAAGGCCCCAACGGCGACGTTCGCATGGCGGCCCCGCCCCATGTCGGCACACCTGTCGTACGTTTCGTGGACCCACACTGGCAGGGGGTATGCTCAAGGCCCTAGTAGCAGCGCCCGCATGGCCGCCGCGACCCCTTCCGGCACACCCTTCACAGGCTTCGTGCCCCCACGAAGAAATCCACAGAAGGCGATACCCACAGCGGCGATGCTCACAACTGCATGCGGTTGGGTCCTTCGCCACGGTCAGTTGCAGAGGATCGTGGACGGCACAGATTTCAATAGTGAACGGTTTTGAATGAAGATCGAGGGCTTCATAAGGCGATGTTGGGCTCAGCAAGTGTGAGATCGGATGTGGAGAACAGTATACGATTTGAATTAGACAGCGAGGGCTGAAGGCCTGAAGAGGCGATGCTGAGATCAGCAAATGTGCGCCGCATGGCATCATTCCCGCAACCCTCCTGCGCGGGGCTCCCGTTTCGAATAGCGCTCTGTGGTCGCGACCTCCTCCTCCCGCCTCCCTCCTCCTGTCCCCTCCTGCCTGACCCTGCAGTCTACCTCGCAGTCCTGCCTGGGAGCTCGCCGGGTGGCTGCAAACTGCGAAACTGTCGCCACGTTTGAGGGCTGCTGGTGTGATATGGCGGATCGCGGATCTATCGTTTCTAGCGCGCTCGCAGAGCGGACTCGTAGATCAATTAGCTAAGGGCCCTGGTAAAATGATTAGAGCCAGAATGAGCGGCGGCAGAGAGCGGGTGAGGAGAGCAGCGAGCCAGCTGGAATCACATTCCTCCTGCACGGTGCGCGGGCGCACGAGGCTGAGGCGCCAAAGCAGCCGGGCATATAAGCCTGGCTCTTCATGAAGCGGGGATGCCAGGCGTGCTGGAAGAAGGCGAGCAAACGGTTCGACACGGCTTGCATTGCAGGCAGCCCCTTGGGCACCTAAGCGGATGCGCTACACGCGACGTGCAGGCGATTCTCAGCTCTCAGCGCCGCTGGCGCTATACTCAAAACCGAGCTAGGCTAGCAATAGCAAGGGTCCGATCGCGAAGCGACAGGACCTCCAAAAAATGGTGATCTTACCGAGATAAGATCTGAGTGGGTGCGATCGTCATCACATGTTTGAAACAAACGTATGCACACTGAATGAAGCTTCTCTAAATGCGGATTTACGTGTAAATCTTTAGCCGGGTGTGAAACCAGAGCAACAAGTCGGACTTACATTCATCTCTAGCCCGGAATGCAAACAGAGCAGCAATGCGGACTTACGTGCAAATAGCTGGATGAGAAAACTGAGCAGCATAATGCGGACTTACGTAGGCGGGGTTGCAATAGGCGACCGTCTATAGCAACAGCAACATAATATTGGCTGCTTCGACCACCCAACCCGCCGTCCGGACACCAAGCGGGATTCATATTTCCTTCTTGGGCTTCGTCGGTTTGTCATTCAGGCCAGGCCCGCGCCGGCAGCATCAGCCGGTGAGCCTACTGCAACGGCCCATGAGATCATTCATCGCGCCTTCCGGGAAGTTCGTGAAATCGGGACTGCACTTCCCGTGGAACCGGAGAAGCCATGGCGAGTGTTTCTTGCAGGTCTTGCAGGTATTGCAGACGCTATGCGGTTGCCTCGATTCCGAAATCATGGCGGGGGACGGCTGTCACGCTGTTGAGCATTTCGTTCGACGATGCCGTCGGTGAGGAACCGATTCACGAAACCACACTCGCAGATGCTGAAGTCGATGAACTCGATACAGTGACTATGCTTGGTGAGGTAGGGGCTGAACCCGAACTTTGAGATCTCGCTGACCTCGATCGTGCTGAGGTTGCGGTAGGTGGTGCGCTGGCAGGCGGTGGTTCTGGCGGCAGCAATGGCGGTGGCGGCGCGGATATCGGCGGCTGCGTTGGGTGGTGTCCGAAAGAGACGCCTGAAGCCGATGCTGATGAACTCGATGCCTGCGCACTGCTGTGCCCATCCGAGGGGCGCATCGTGGCGTCGCCGTCGCAATCGCGATCCTCGGGGAATCCAGCTGGAATGTTACGGCGCCGGCCAATCATGCAGCCGCCCCAGCCGGGATGCTCGCTCATTGCCTTCGCCTCGGCGGCATGCTCCTCGGTAGCGATCATGCTGTTCTGCCTCATGATCGTCCAGAGCGCCACGCAGATGCCGAAACCGATAGTCATGCCGAGGGCCAGCGTGAACGTCAGCAGGCAGATGTAGAAGCTGTAGTCCGGCACCGTCGTGCAGGCGTAGGCTGCCCCTTGACCTCGCCGAGGCAGGTAAACAGGACTGAGGCGAGCATGGCGGCACGCGGCTGCCGGGTCCCGCAGCTGTGCTTGCGGGCCCCGAAGAAGGCCAGCAGGGCG